CTGTTCTCACGCTCCGCCCGAGGCCACGGCCCAGGGCTTCCGCCAACCCCTCGGGGCCAGTGCCGCGGAGCAGACTCCATCACCACTAGGCAGACACCGCCCTTTCCCATCCATCCCAGTTCCACTGTCGGAAAAGTCACCAGAACCATCCCTGGGCTCCCAGGTTCACCGCGGACCTTCCTCCGACTCCCCCTCCTCTCCTGCCTCCGGGAGCTGCCTCGTCTAATTCCCGGCGATTCTTCCACCCATTTCCCCGTCGTCAGCGCTGCCGCTGCTCCTCCGATTCTCATTCTTTCTGGCCGGGACTCCTGGGAGGCCCCGAGGGTCTCTCGCCTCTGTTCCCCGCGCGCCCTACACTTGGCTGCAGGTCATACTCTCTCATTAAAACTCTGGGGCCCAGAGGTGTTCTAGAGGGTTTCTCTTTGAGTTCTTGGAGTTTCAGAAAGGTAATAAAGAGAAAACACTGTGATATTACATTCCCCCCACCCCCATGGGGGGGCAGCATCCTGTAATCAAACATCGTTATTTTGCTGTGAAATGGATGAATATTCGCATTAAGATAAAGAATATAAATGGTCTCTCATTTTTCACATTAAACTTTAATGCCAGATGAGTTCAGATCCGATTGCCTTTGTCTCCAAGTAAGTGATTAAAAAAAACCCCCGAAAACCGCCACCCATATTTTGGTTTTTAGAATGTTCGGATTTTAGAATTATGGAAAGTGTTGGTGGACCTGCACTAGATAAATCTTTTTTAAAAAAGAACCCACACATTTGTATTGATTTCAGAGAGGAAGGGAGAGGGAGAGAGAGCTAGAAACATCAACGATGAGAGGGAATCACTGATTGGCTACCTCCTGCACGTCCCCTTCTGGGATCGAGCCCCCAACCCGGGCATGTACTCATGACTGGGAATCGAACCGTGACCTCCTGGTCCATAGGTCTGAGACACGGCTGGGTAGGAGCCTGCTTTTAAAATTAAATTTGGAGGCATAGAGTTTCTTTTCCTATTGGGTTTTCTTTCTTTTTAATAGTTAAACACGTAGGTAAACTTTTCTAGAGAAGGACTGTGCGTGCTTTCTCTTTACAGTTTGTAAGCTTAACCTCCCTAAGTGAGGCGTTGTTTGGCTAAACATACAGCGAGTAGCGGTACACAGCCTGAAGAAACAGACACATTCTCACAGCATCTAGTCGCTATTGTTTTGGGCTATGTGGACGTGTTGGCTTTTATATCAATACTAGAGGCCTGGTGCACGAAATTCATGCAGAGGGGGGAGGTGGGGGGGAGTCCCTCAGCCTGGCCTACACCCTCTCACATTCCGGGACCCTTTGGGGAATGTCCGACTGCAGGTTTAGGGGATCGGGCCCAAACCGGCAGTTGGAAATCCCTCTCGCAATGCAGTACCGCTGGCTCCTAACCGCTCGCCTGCCTGCCTGATCGCCCCTAACCACTCTGCCTGCCTGTCTGATCGCCCCTAAATGCTTGCCTGCCTGATCACCCCAACCACCTCTGCCTCGGCCCCCGCCACCGCGGCTTCGTCTGGAAGGACATCCGGCTGTCTGGTCTAATTAGCATATTCATATTACCCTTTTATTATTATAGATGAGTTCATGTTTCTAAACCTCCTAGCATTTTCTTGCAGCAAAGAACTGTCTCTTTTCTGAGAAGAAAAAAAAACCAACACACTTGCTTGTAAAATGAGGCCGTTTTGCATATTAATTAGGAGGTCTTTGAACTCTAAGGATAAAATCCGTTCATGCTTTGGGTATGGAACGTTATGCATTCAAGGAGTTTAATTTTATGCTAATAATGCAACAAGCTTTACATTTTCCTTTGTGTTGTTTGTTTTCCTGAAGATAATTTCATGCAGATAATCCACCCCAGCACGGGCAGAGCCTGGCGGACGGCTTCCCGATCGATAGTCAGGCCTGTGGGCGCTGCCCTGTACACCTCTATTCCCACGGCTGGCGGGTGAATGGAGACACACCCGCTCAGGCAGGGACTCACTCAGGGTTCTGGGCTACGAGCCACCTTTCTCTTAAGAATCGCTTCCTCTCTCGAATGCCACAGTTCATGGAAAGGCAGGAGGGCTGATCCTGGAGCTGATGCTGAACATAAAACAACTTCTCAGCAAGAGGAGTCGATGGCCTACTGTTGGCCTAACTCGACGACATTTAGCCCAGCGAGAAGCACGGCGCCATGCGCTTCTCCCGCCTCTGCCCGGTGTCACCGGACAGGGGCCTGGCCTGGGGGGTCTGCCTGGGGCCGGCAGGGCGTGTGTGGGTTCTTGACTTCGTGCGGAAAGATTTCACAACACGAGTCCAGGTGACCATGGGGAGCGTTTATTAAAGCTGAGATGTAAATCGAGAAAGGTCCTAGCATAGAAGAAGCAACAGGAGGGCCAGGCTGGGCCGCCCCAGCTCTCTGGGAGTCAGAGAAGAGGGGCCTTGGGGTCAGGTTCAGGGGTGAGCCTGGGACGAGCTGCTGCCACCCATTGCTCCCCAGGTTGCCAGTCTCGTGGGGTCCCTTAGAGTTTAGGAGCTGCATGGCTGTGGGGGAAGAAGTGGGGGAAGAGGGGAAAAGGGAATGGCAGGGGCTGCTCCCCAGAGGTCCGTTGTCTTGAGGCTTTTGTTTCCCTCTTGCAGGCGGGAATCTTGGGGGGGCCTCGGGGGAGGGTCCCCGCAGAATACTCATCAGTTTCCAGGTGGGCTCCTGCAGGGTCAGGTCTCCACCGATGGGTGTCAGGCAGAGGGCGGTCATCGCAGCGGCCCTGGAGCCGCCCACCTGGTTTTGCTGCTTTTCTGCGTCTGGAGCTGAAATGCAGCTGAGGCCTGGGTGTTCTCTCCAGGAGGGGACCTTCTGTATTGGCTGTCAATTGTTCTGCCAGTTCGTTCCGCTCTCTGCCTCAGTTTCCCTGTTCCACTCGTCCGGGCTCACTGGCCTGTTTCATGGGGAGGGCAGC